TGATATGAATATGTTTATGACTCTGTTTCTGATACGAATATGGCTATGCTTCTGCGCAATAAGAGATTTGAAGTTGTACTTGTGATGGACATCATTCATTTAAACCCTTTACTCTATTATTATTCACTGGGCTTCAGCTTACTATTTATTATTATGTATATAGGTGACCAAGCGCGTGACCAGGCTCAAACTTGAGGACCTAGCGTACCAGTTTTGTCAGCCAGCCATTGTGCCTCCCAAGAGGTTCCCCCTTGTGAGCAAGTCGAGTTTAAATGGCTTGTATTTAAGACCTTGTCTTTTTTTGAATTATAAACAAGTTTTCTGTTATGTATATATTGGGCAAAGTCCCCTTTTGGCTACATCAGTATTAAATGTAACATAAGATCTACATCATGACATCATATATATATATATATAAGTTTTTTTAAAAAAAAGAATGAAGTTTCTGTTTCATATATGTCTTCACAGCTCAATAGACTATGTATGTTTCTATATTTGCTTCCGCAGTCCCTAATTATAAGTTATTCTGTTCAGAGGCCTTTGGTAATCCAAGGATTACTACCCGGTTACGGCATTAAACCCATAAGGGCGGGTTTGGGTCATGACAACTGGAAGGAGCACAGAGGTAGAGAGAGCGGCGCCGACCTCAATACTGTCGATGGCATTGTCACCAGCTGTCATCAGTCGATCCCTAACCATAATTGCTGGAGCCCAGGGCTCATCGGCTTTAAAAACACCTGGTCCCACTACACCTTCGGATCTCGGCTTCTTTGATTGCATCTTGTCAAATGACTCGGCCTCTGCAGGCCTATTCTCAGTGACAGAAGCGCTTTTCCCGATCTTGGCCAATTCAAAGATCGGCACAGTGTCTTCAGAATCAACTTAGGTGGCAGAGGCTTTTGCCTTTGCCCTCTACACTCTTTTTGGCTTTGGCTTGGGCTTAGGTTGAGACTGGGATGAAGAGGAGTGAACTAAAACTACTCTTAGCAAGTCGACCATGAGGTCTTCAACAACGGCTTAACTGCGACCCATCTCGTCGACAGTTGCAGCAACAGTAACCCTGGTTCCAAAGTGGATCGCAGGAAAGGCAATGGAAGGGTTTGATGGATCGTAAGCCGATGCCTTAGAATCTCGGCATTTGTGGCTGTGAGTTCTGCCGGCAGGAGCGCTCGGAGGAGCTCAGCGTCGACGACGACGCTGAGAATGAGGAATCAACTAGAGAGCAGAAGTGGATGGCTGCTCTACTGGATCTAAGGTAGAGGCCTGGTTTGGCCTTGGTAATGAAGTGGTTGGTGGAGTTGTGGCAAAAAGAGGAGTCTTGCTTCGCTTTGGAACGTCGGGCAGGGATGACTTGTATGTCGAAATGTAGTTAAGCAACAATGGGGCCTTGCGTCTTTGTATTGGGAGATCCAAAAGCTTCTTTAGATCTCAGCTAGGAATGTAGGACTACCAAAATCCCTTTGCTGGTTGAGAAAGAGCTACAAGAGCAAACAACAAACATTAGCACAGACAAGAGAAAAGAATTGACAAGTCTTAACAAAGATAGAGCTATGGGATGACTCATTTCTTACCCTCATCCTCTCTAAACACTGCTCGGTACAGAGGAAAGAGATGAAGATCGTCATCAGGTGCAAACTCCCAGTTGCGTAAGACGATCAAGTAGTCATCCCCAGCACCTTTGTTAGAGTCTAGAGGGTTGGCTATAAGTTTGAAGGCGGTGGATCTGGGCTTAAGGTAGTATATGTATCCTTTGTCAAACTTAAAGCCACATATGGTGTGACAGCACTGAATATCGGCTAGAGTAATCCTAGCTTTTTCTCGGCGTGCCAGTTTGATTGTGCCATTTATAACCCTATATGAGTTAATGGCTAATTGTATGGGGTTAAGTTTGTAGTAGTGGAGGACTTCTTGGAAAAGAATGTGTAAGGGAAATCGATGTCCACATTCAATGAACCCAACTACGAGGAAGGGTATGGAGTCTCCATCAAGCATGATAGAGTTCTCTTTCCCAGCCAACCTAATTTGAACGTCGACTGAGATGGAGAACTCTTGCCGAAAGTACTCTAATTTGGTAAGGGTGCCTACTTTTCACTTGAACATGCCCATTATCTTGGCAAGGAAGGGTTTGGTAACAGATTTGTTGAAAGAAGTTTGGTAAAAACTTAAGGACCTCAGCTAGAACCTAAATGGTACTAGGGTAAGGGTTTTGTTGCCTAGAGGAGATTGTGTTTCGATTTGCCTAGGTATGTGATTTCTAGCAAAAAGAGGAATGTAATTCAGAATCAAGAAAGAGTCAGAGAACAAGAAACCAGATTTGCATACACAGAACAGCAAAAGTCGTGGACATTGAATAAGTGTGTGCAAGTATGCAATAATCGACACTCTTGATACGCAGTCAAAAACATAATCAAAGCAAGAAGCAGGGATTCAAGATCCAGATAGAGGTACAGATTCAATAGCAACGCATGAAACATTTAAATAGACACAATGTAGAGGCAGTATGACGAAAACAGTGCAAGCCATTCAAGAATACATCAGTACAGTGTAACACATATTCAAGAGCAGGGATCAATTTGTAATGTCTAAAACATGAGAAATGGTAACCAAAAACAGGGGAAGACTGAAATTACAGAGAAAGAAATTATGGACTTATTGAATCGGAGAAGTGGACGTTGGGATAAGGTTCGTCAGAGTCAATCGACGGTAATGACTGGAAACAAACAATAAGGAACTTGTCGACAGTGACAAACGGAGTAGTTGCAAAGCTTGAGAGCTTGAAAATGGAGGGTTGGAAACTTTAAAGAGAGAAAGTCTAAACACAGAGAGAGAGCCAGAAATGAGAAGTGAAGAGATGAAAAAAGCAGAAGGGTTTTTGTCAAAAATATGAAAAGGCAGCAAAAATACAATGAAATGCCTTGGACGACGTGCCTGTCAGGAGGCGCAAACATAAATGACGCGACCTACTAGTGCATGTCAGGTACGAACCAGTGGAGAAGGGACACGTGGACGAAACAGTTGGAAAAACTGTACGTGACAACTCATACGCAGTTAGAACTTTTGAAATTCTTGAAACAATGAGGCCATAACCTCGGCTAAAGGAGCGATCTTAGTTAAGATGCTTAAAGAACTGGATTCTTGGTTCTTGATCCTTAGGAAGGTGGACAGCTGAGTCTTGGTTATATGAAGCTAACGAGTCATGATCTCGGTCAAAGAGAAAAATGAATTTTTAGCCGACATGAAGTGTGGACAAACAATGTAGGTCCCATCACCTCAGGTTGCCAAGGTAATAGAACCTAGGGGGCAGTTGTGGAGAAATATTTTGTGAAAGACAGCACATGGCTAAGGTGATGCTGAAGTGTCAACCGAGGTGCCACGTGGCCTGGTCGTGCTACTGAGGTGATTTCGGCTAGGCCGAGATTATCTGCGAAGATACCAGAATCCGAGATAAGCAGATAAGGGACAAGAGTCCTAGAACAGTGGAGGATCTCAGTCTAGTTAAAGACAAGTCTCAAGCAAAGTTTATCTCTATCTAGATGAGGGTCCAGGATGAGCATTGAGCCTGAGTTCACTGAAGTGAGGCTTCTAAAGAGATCAGGTCACTGTTGGTTATAAAAGCAGGGCACCCCTTGGGTCTCAGGTATGTGTGATATACTATGAGTAGTGAGTTGTGATTTAAATACTTGAATTGATATCTATGAGAGATTACTGACTTGATCGTCAAAGTGCCTTCAGGTGGACGAACCACCGCCACATTCTTATTTTTTTGTACAAGTTGTTGGGCTTAATCTATTCTGACAGTATTCTCTAACTGAGTTCCCTGTTTGGTTGTGTGGTCAAAAATCTAACACCCACACCTCTCTTTATTTGCTAGTAGGTAAAACCCCTCATCTCTTTCCATGATTTTCACCTTTACATAGCTGTTCTCTTATGATTTGTAGTTCTCTCTCTCACACAATCACACGTTTGCACAGACATTTGTTGACCGTCGGGTTTCTGCTGTTTGCCATTGCTGTGACCATCGCTGTTTCATTCTGGCTCGGTAGGTTTGTCTGCTCTTTCTCTGTATCTCACTCCCCATCTACTTTGTCTATCTGCTTTGTATTTCTTTTGATTTTCAATTATTATTTATTTGTTTATTTTTTTTTGGGGTCAAGGGTTCCTAGAATCTATATTCAATTGTTGCACCATAATTCAAGGTATACAATTTGATTTTGAATTAGTATTACCAAATAATTTTAAAGCCATTCAAAATTTTCATCTATGGTTTTGTATCTCCATATCCAATGGATTTTTGATTTCTGATTTTGTATCTAAACTTAGTTTATAAACTCTCTCAATATGGAAGAATAAAGAGTGAAATGTGAAGAATAACGAATAAAACTCTTCAAAGTTTCAAAACCCTAACACTAATTTAATTTAATCTAAGGACATATCATCTACTTCCTTATGTTGGGAAATTTGAATTGCTTGAAATCTTACAGGATACAAGGCCACAATTCTTACTTCTTTTCTTTTCAAGGAATGTTGATAGAGCATTGCCTTAGAATTTATTAGGTTTGCAAAGAAGCTGAGAAAGAGCTGTTAATTATAGGGAGTTGATTCATGCCCATACTAGTTCAAAAAAAAAAAAAACGAAAAACGAACATACAAAAAATCCATGCCCATACAAAAATTTACCAATAAAGGCAATGAATTGAAGATTGTTTTAATGGTTTGAGGGCTATTTCTATGTGGCCATTTGTATTCTGCAAGATTTGTGAAATTGAAGGTTGTTTAGTAAATTTGGTTTTTATTTTTATAAGAACCACAATCTGATTTTTATTTTATTTTTTTAAATTAGGTTTCTTTTGGTTGTGCTTATATACGTATTCATATATATATATATATATATATAACTATCTATAAAAGAAGCAAACTTGAGTCTAACAACAGTTCATCTAACAAAGAGGAAATTGTGAAATCACCCTCGGTGAAGATTGCTGGGGAAGCAACGATGACACCAGCTAACCTCTATGCGGTGCTTCTCCAACAAGCTCTTCATCAATTCGAGCCACCTGTGCCGCTACAGATTAGGTGGTGTGCTTTTCACCCAAGCTTGTTACTCAAGTCGTGAGATATTAGCTGTAAATTGTTTAATTTCTTTGCTACAAATTACTCTCAAGTTTATCAAAGAAATTGTTCAATTTCTTACGAGGAATGTTCGATTGAGAGTTGTATCTTCTTTTATTCTATAGTTTGCATTTGGGCTGAACTCTATATGCATTTTTCTTTCACAAACCAGTTGCAAATCCAAACAATCTGGTATGTAATTTTTTGGTTGCTGTTTCTTTGTCTTCTATGGAGATGTCAATACCTGATTTATATGCTTCTGTATTAGATTGATGCTTGTTATTGCCCCAATTCTATTTAATATTTAGCTCAGCCTATGTATTGTCATTGTTTTGTTGTTTTGCTAGAATTTTAGCTTCTGCTCACACTGTGATAATATGCCCAAACCAATAAATCATTTTGGGAAGATTTGGGATTTGCATTGCTCTTTTTTTTCCCTATCTTCTTTAACTTTAATAAAGCCAATGATTATGAAGTGAAGGTAATGAAATGGGCCATTCCCAAGGAAAAAGCCAAATCAGCATGCAAGCAATGAACACTTGCAGTGTCCCTTCAAATTAAAGGACCACTCACTGGACTCCCTATTTTTTCTGGGTAAGTACCAGACTCCTTGTCAGTGGCATCAGGTTTAGTATTATTGATAAACAAAAAAAAATTCTATAATTTTTTTTTAATTTAATTAACTGTATAATTCTTTAGGTAGTGAAATTATGAAAAAAGATACATATAGCCTGATCTAATTGTGACAAATTTAATTAACTATATATATGTATATATATATATATATTTTTTATTTTACTTTGACGAAGGAAAGAACCGCCAAATAGTGAAATGTACAAATTTAAGCTATGTGTATGAAATAAATGGCGCTACCAGCTCACCGCTCACTAACCATGGAAACATAAGATACGTGGCCGTTTCTTCCCCACCCCCACATCCACAAATCCCATGCATAATGTTTCTATTTCCAAGAATAATTTAATGGGGTTGTTCTCTTGTTAATCATTTACTAATTAGCATTAGTATGAATCTATTATCTTTGTCACTCTCCTAGGTAATGTTGACAGGAGTAGTTGAAGAGGGATAGATCTCTTCAAGGTTGCTTTTACTGCTTGCCTTATTTTGGTGTGTATGTCTCTGTGTGGTTATCTGTTTTCCCATAGCTAATGCTTGTTATTTTGGTTGTAGTGGAAGAGAAAATCATGTTAAATTAGACCCAAACAACTTCACCAAGTTTTCTAGCAATTTTTTAGGTTAGAAATTTGATGCTACTGAATTACATGCTTCATGAATTCATTGTGCAGAATTGTGGTGTTAAGATATTGTAACATACTATCTCTGAGAGTAGCCTATATTTATTAAGCTATAGCTTGGAAAGAATTGAGTAGATTTTGACTTGGCATCCAAAGTTTGCATTACAAATTTTCATGGAATCACTGTACAGTTGCAAAGTGCAATCATTTTAGGTTCAAACATATTTTTTATTTCGCCTTCTTTTGAAATTTGGTATTAAAACAAAAAAGAGTGAACATTGTGTATTTGCTCTTTTTCACTACCCTCTGGCACAATTTGTTGAAAGAAGTTTTAAATTTTTTAATTTTTTTTTTCCTGTTGAATGATTCATTGAATTGTGGTTTTCAATCTTGATATGTTACTGATTTTTTATTTGAATTGGAACCAAATTTGTTAATCAGGTTTGTTTTCCACTTACAGCTGCATGAGCATCTTCTGGCCACTGTGAATTCTGAAAAGTTCTCAACGCAGCTTAAATCCCTCTATGATGAATCTATTGATGGAATTGGCTCCGAATTTCCTTTTTAAGGAGGCCTCAGGTTTCCCCCTTCCCTTCAATTAGTGGATTCTATATCTATTTTCTATAGATTTCTATATTACATGATAGAATCTAAGTTAAGTTTAATCTAATTAATTTCAGTGAAGAAACTGATCTGTGTAAGTTGAGCGTGATTTTCAATCCAAGAAATTTAGTTCTATTTAAGGATCAAATTTCAGATTAAATTTTGGAGAGAGAGAGAGAGAGAGGGAGTATTACTATTGATTCGATAGTGCTTGAATATTTATTGAACTGATTGATTCCGATAGTTAAATTAGACACTTCATTCTTAAATAGACTCACACAGTTAATGATCAATGAAGGAGGAAACTTGGTAATGGTGACTTTCTAATATTGTTTCTGGAAAAAAGGATCGATTTTTGTAAGAAAATTTTATCTACTATGAAGAGTCTATGCTGTGAACTCAGTGCTGTTTGTTCTGTTCTCTATATGTGCAATTTGAGTTTATAAAATTTAATCTGATGAAAAAAAATACATATTTAGGAGGGAAAGTGAATGATATGGAAGGGGAAGAGTTAGTTCACATCCTGTTTGGTGGAACTGACCCAAAAAAAAAAAGAATTTGATGGGTACATGGATAGACTTGTTTTGTGAAGGATATTTGGTGACTTGCGTTAGGTAATTTAAAAATTACAGGGATATTAGTGTTTTATATTTTTTTGCAAGCTTAAAA